TGATTTCTCTCTTAGTGATATTAATTTAATTTAAATATTTTGTATTTTTAATTTAAGTAAGAATGTTTACTTTTAAGTTCTTTTCTTTTGAAAAATGGGAACATAATCATTTACAACGAGGAATATGATATATCAAGAAAAACATTTTTGTAAAAAATTCAAAGATATTAGTATTCAACCGATTTCAATACATAAATGATTATTTTAATAAGTAATGCAATATTAAGAAAAATAATATGTTATACATGTTTAAAAAATATTAATAATTTTTAACAATTATTTTATGTTCATTACTTATCTATGACTTTGAAGTAAAAATCAATTATCAGCAAAAACCGCTATAATACTTGCTTACTTAAACCACATCTGTCGCAAATCAAAATATAAGCAGAATATTTTGAAAATATGAGATTACAAAAATTATATTTTCTGAGGATAAAGAATTGCAAATTTATTACTGATTAACTATAATATTCTTGTTGCGTGATAACAGGTAATATTTAATTGCTTTATAATTCTTTTGTAACATAACCTCTGTAGCATAAACTAATGCTGGACAAAAATGTTGGAATGATGCAATTTTTGCGGTATACATAGTGACAAAAGAAATTGCACTAAATATTCTTTTTCTAAAATATGTATATATCAGTTAATTATATATATATATATGAAATGTAATAACATAAATTAAATGATATAGTAAACAATAACAAAAGTATATTTTTTTGAGTAGTGCACAGGAATACAAAATTATTGCTATATTTAACTTTTTATCATCATTATCATTATTATTATTTTCCACATATTAAAACAACTTTATAATAGCTGTAATAAGTTTTTAATCTGATTTTTTTTCACATTCATCTCTTATTATAATTGTAATTTCTAAGAAATTCAGTTATGAATTTTATTTTTTTATAATTATAATTCATAAGTTTTTATATTTGATTCACATAATATTTTTATTCATTTTAGCACATAAATAATATGGTTGATCAAAGTATTATTGGTCTATGCTTCTTCGTCTGTCTGGCAGTAGTTTTTAACTGTTCATTACATCGTATAGATGAAGGTCATGTTGGTGTATATTTTAGGGTAAGTATTTATGATTAAATGTAAAATGATATGATGCAGTGTCTAATGATATATATGCACTGAATATATTACACAGGGAGGTGCATTATTGCCTCAAGTAAGTAATCCTGGATTTCATATGATGATTCCTTTCTTAACAAAATATCGATCAGTTCAAGTTACATTACAAACAGATGAAGTAAAAAATGTACCTTGCGGTACCAGCGGTGGTGTGATGATATATTTTGACCGCATAGAAGTTGTAAATATATTAGATGCAAACAGTGGTAATAATATTATAAATTATATATCAAAAATTATTGGGACTAATTTACAATCATGAAGGAAAACAACATATTTTACATATCAGTTAATTTTTTAATTGTACAGTTTATAACATCGTAAGGAATTTTACGGCAGACTATGACCAAACATTAATATTTAACAAAATACATCATGAATTGAATCAATTTTGTTCTGTACATACTTTGCACGAAGTATACATAGACTTGTTTGATCAAATAGATGAAAATTTAAAAACTGCTCTACAGAAAGATTTAAATGATTTAGCACCTGGTTTAAGTATTCATGCTGTTCGGGTTACAAAACCTAAAATACCAGAAACTATTAGAAAAAATTATGAGTTAATGTGAGTACAGACATGAATTAATAATAACAAACATTAATTAAAATGTTAATGAAAATTATATTATGTACATATTATTTCAGGGAGGGTGAGAAAACAAAATTATTGATAGCTACACAACATCAGAAAGTAGTAGAAAAAGATGCAGAAACTGACCGGAAGAAAGCTATTATTGAAGCTGAAAAACAGGCAATAGTTTCAAAAATTCAATACAATCAGAACATTATGGAAAAAGAATCTCTTCAAAAAATAGTTGAAATCGAAAATGCAATACATTTGTCACAACAAAAGAGTCTTTCTGACGCTGAATACTATAAACTGAAAATGCAAGCAGAAGCAAATAAACGTCTCTTTACACCAGAGTACCTAGAATTAAAAAAATATGAAGGATTAGCACAAAATTCCAAAGTTTATTTCGTTCAAGATACACCAAAAATGTTTGTGTATGAAAATAATTTAAAAGATCCTATAGTTCATTCCAGCTTAGATACAAAAGAAACATAACTGTACAATTGCATAACTACACTTCTTCTTATTAACAATAAATTATGATATACTAAGTGTTAATTAATACTGTTTATCGTTTTTAAAAATACAGCGATACAGGAAATTTAGGTCGTTTTTGTGAGAGTGACAATTACATTTTTGATAACTTTGTATTTAAAAGAATAAACTATAATTTATGCATATCTAATATCTCTTGATGATATTTTATTACATTAAGAAAATTTTTCTGATAAAAATATTGTCTCTCAGTGTTATATTAAATAAATACTTTTAAAACAATGATTAACGCACTATTTTGTTTCTCTCCTAAAATAAATTAAATTAATGAACATTGTATGATAAAGATTACAAGCGTCAAAATAAATTTTAAGTTACATATCATTTGTTTTATATTAATACAATATTCTTTTTCTAAACTATTGATTCGGAACATATATTGGCTTTAAAGGTAGCTTAGTACGGGACGTGCGCACTACAGTCGAGCTACATGATAATCTGTCAAAATTCTTAACTCAGAAGTCATACTTGATATTTTTGACGTTTAAAATCTATGAAACACTTATACATTTATAAGTTGTTAAATTAATATTTTGTACCGGAAATATTAAAATATGACAGCGGTAAGTTATGAAATTATATTCACTAAATTTCCAATGTATTTCGTATCGTATATACTTTAAGGTTATCTACAAATAAGTTAAACAAGTTTCAAGATAGTAGTAATTGTTTTTATACAGACAAAGTTATATTCCTTACAAAATAAAATATGCAGAAATATAGTATGTAGCATTACCAATGTTATAACAGTTAATTTATTTCTGTATTATTATTTCAGGAATTAAAAAAGTTTCTTTATGACCTTCTAAATAGCATTGAGGGACTTCATAGTATATTGATAACAGATAGAGATGGAGTACCCGTTGTATCAGTAGCTGATAAAAAAGCGCCAGAATTGGCTATGAGAGCAAGTTTCTTGTCAACATTTGCAATAGCAACCGATCAAGGAAGTAAATTGGGACTTGGGAAAAATAAAACTATTATATGCATGTACAGTAGCTACCAGGTAATAAAGTTTACAAAATTTCTTATACGATTGTATCATTTTATTTTAATATAGAGGTATATTAGGAAGTATTATAGAAATATTAAGTTCTCAAATATATTAATACATGTAAATACTCATATTTGAAAATCTTAATATTTAATAGTTACATGAAATGTTTATGTATCATTAATTGTATATAATTTACATTATTTTTAATGTTATCTTATGTTCGCTACATACATTATGTATGATTTTTACTATATGAATTTTGGTAAAACATTATGAACATTCATGTATTGTTTAATTTACAGGTGGTTCAAATGAACAAATTACCATTAGTTATTAGTTTTATTGGTAGTCATAACTGTAATACAGGTCATATTTTATCTTTGGAGAATAAAATTGATCCAATTTTGAGCAATTTAAAAAATGTAGTGGAAGAAAAATGTTGATGGTTACCTGTTGCACATTATGGGTGATAAATACCAAAAGTTTACTGTTAAATTTGGTAAGCACTTGTAATGGAAGCAATGTTATCGTATATTCTTTTCCGCAATTACAACATATTCGAATTTCCTCATTTCATATTTGTAAATCCTTTTTAAGCATTTTTATTATACACTAGCTGCTATATTTGTTTGAAAGGAGGATTTTATCTCAAATTTGGCGTATAATAATATAAATGTGGTCAAAGGGATAGATATTATAAAATTTTATGGTAGATGCAAAATAGTTTGTATTATACAGTGTCAATGTGGCATTTTGATATTTGCAATGTGAAATTAAATATATATATCTTAATTTATACATATATACATATATATAAATATATATATATATATATATAAGAAAAAATTATTCAAGTTTTACATTGTATATACTGTGGAATATATATATATATACATATATATATAAAGTGATATTAAAACACATCAATGTCATTATGTTATTGAAAATGAAATTGTAGAATTAACTTGTGTAATATAATCTTGTACTTTAAACAATTCAAGGAATATGAATTACAGTTCGTACACTAATGGCTTACCCTCTAACCCATTGAGAATATTTTGCGCTGCAATAATTGACATATCACGTCGAGTCTTCACAGTAGCACTGCCCAGATGAGGTGTAATCACTGCAATATATATTTACATATACATTTATATATATATATATGTACTGTTTTGCTATACATTTCTATTAATACCTAATAAATATGTACGGAAGGATAAAAAAATTGTAACTTATTTCCTTCGATATAATATTGTTAAAAAAAAGAAATATACATTCATTGTTTATCTTGATTTTTGATATTCATTGTATTAAATGTTTTTATATGATTTAATACAAAAAGTAATACGAACCAGCATTAGGAAGTTTAAGAAGTTCATGATCAGGAGATAGTGGTTCAGGGTCTGTAACATCAAGTCCAGCTGCAAAAATTGTATTATTACGTAGCGCTCTAACTAGTGCATCTGTGTTCACGACTTGTCCACGTCCAATGTTTACAAATACGGCTGTCTTCTTCATTTTGCCAAAAGTATTATCATTAAACATTCCTCTTGTTTCGTTATTCAATGGAACAGCAACAATAACGAAGTCACTTTGTTGAAGTAATTCTTCGAGCGACACAAAATGAGCTCCAAGTTCATTACCTAAATGAAATAATAGTTTCAAAAAAGTACGAATAAACATTATTTACAACCTGATAAATACCTTCTTTCTTGCGAGAATGATCCGTATAAATAAAACGGTCTACTTCAAATCCTTTCAATCGTTTTACAATTGCCTGTCCAATATTACCAAACCCAACGACTCCAACCGTTGATCCTCGCACATCTTGACCAAGTAACCACCGAAGATTCGATTCTACTTCGCCTCTAAGTGTTTTACAATAATTATATTTTATAATATATGATTATACCTTTTGTAATACTACAATTTAAACTATTGCATATTGTATACGTTTTAGGAGAAATATAAAGACTATGAAAAAAATAAAGGAAAAGAATTGATTTCTAGTAACTGAAGTAACGATATGAACTCTTATAATAATCATACTATTGTTTGTAATGAATAATTTAAGATACAGTTATAAATTAGTTAAAAAATAAAATTCTAAATGTTTTTTTAAAGGTTTCGTAGCGATATTTAAGGTATAACGAATTGTTTTTTGAAAATTATTTTCAATACTTCCTTCATAGTTATTAATAACTGCTTATATAAGTTTAAGAAGTCACTTATATGCGAATACAATTGAAAATCAATATAAAAAAAATTAATTTCTTAATTACTGTTGAAGTTTTAAACGTCCTTCATGACTTCGTTTTGCAGCGGACAGAGTTAAAAGAATTGCAATTTCGGCAACTGAAGCAGTTAAAACCATAGGAGTGTAACCAACTTTAATTCCTCTTCGTTTGATTTCGGGAACATCCAAATGATCGTAACCAGCCGACATTGTAGAAACGATTTTCAATGTTGGCCCTATTTATTATTAAAATTTTAATTAAAAAATTTGCAAAAATTTTTATGTAAATTCAGAAATTAATAAATAAATAACTTATTAAATAATCAATTAATAACTATAAAAGCTTCTGTAAAATTACAGAGTTCTATAAAATTTATTTTATCTCTTTTGTTTTAAAAGGTTTGATGAGACATCTTAATAATAGTTTTTATGCTGAATTTAAACATGCAATCCATTTTTTTCGTCCCCTTCACTTTTTGAAAAAATCAACTTTGAAAAAAAAATAAAATATTTTATTTTAGAGTTTCGTTATTAAATATATAAATAATAAAAGAATATAAATATCTGGATAACAATAACATTTACGTAAAACAAGATCATACAGTTATGTATGTACATGGATAAATCGGTTAGTTGCAACTGCATTTAATAGAGGAGAATCAATCAGTATAAGAAATACAATTAAAATCTCTCATTACACCTTTTGAGACAAAAATCATGTTGACCGCTGTTATTAATTTCTTTCAAACATAGTCATTCGAATTTACTTCCTTGAAAATATAAATTTTGAAAATATATCTACCTATCTATCGTCAATTATGTCGAAAGACTAGAGTGGAATTTAAAAGACAAACATAATCAATAAAATTACATTCAAACGTTGTGTATAATTCGATTTATATATACCTGCAATATCAAGAAATTCACTGTTTACATTATGATGCCTTGCGATAAAAATTGCATCGTGTTCGGGAAGAGCCTGCAACACATCTTCGCGTGTACTCATAATGTTATGGATTATCGTAACATCGCATCTAAATAAATACGAAATGCAATTACATATTTATCAGTATAGCAAGTCATTCTGTAGATTAAGGAGATTAAAAATATAATGTTCTTAATCCATTTAAAATCTGAATTAAATATTGTCCAAAACAAGCTTACAGTAATGTAACTATAAATATCAAAAATATTTAAATAACTTACTTTATTTAATAAGTGTATTTCTTTTTATAGTTTTTATTTATGAAAAGTAGTGAAAATTTTATATTTCATTCTATGTAACACACTTACTTTGTGCGAAGGAGATCTATGGCCTCCGATGGTACATCGCTACTGGTGACCAATACACGCGGCTTCATTCTTGCTTCGATTCACGCGACAGAAATGGTAAAATGTTTGTAAGCTACAAGAGTCATGAATTCCCCGCATTATATAATAAAGGTATCTGATGGTGTGCGCATGCGTGATTCAACTAGAACATAATGCATGAAAATTGTACATACTATATCGCCAGTTGATATACAAACGTTATTACTTTCTTAACTATTAAAAATCCGAACATATTTTCCATGTAAGTCTTGCTTGATTTAAAAGATGAACAAACCAAATGGAATCTTTGAAGTTTTCTATTAAATTTTGTTTATAAAGATTTCAATGTTAATAAAGTTTTTAATGAAATTATAGATTCTTTATTATTAATAATACATTTTTCACAATTTAATTTCATTAAATTTTTTCCATCAATTGAAATCATTTTTATTTATTTAACTTTCATTTCTTTTTTAAAGTATTATACGCTACGTCTAATTTAGAGATGGCATTATCAGTTCTACCGTTACTGATATCATATGTTTTTAAAATTGTGCATTTCGAAATTATCGGTAATAAGTGTTTGTAAATTGTCTTTCGTGGAGGTACTTTGAATAAGAAATACTATGTTACATGAATACTAACAGCATAAAAAATACTATTAATATTGCCCATTATATTTTCTGTAACAAAAATCGCGTTGACCAGTGTAATTAATGCTAAAAGTGATACTACTAAATTAATTAACACGTTGAATGCCGCACGATTTCATACCGTAAAATACACAAAATGAAAAAGATATGATATTAAATCATTTGATTGAATTGCATTATTATTATTGCACGATGATCTAGCTGAATGTCATCGTATTAGGTAGCATTATTCGTAATATAGAAATGTTTTCAAGTAACCATCATTTAATCAAGTGAACTATAATAATTCGATTTGGTTAGGAGTCACCGGTGATCCCCACGGCATTTAACGTATTAATTAATCGGGTGTCAGATGTGCGTTACGGTACCTGTGTAATGACACATAAGAGGTACATACGTACGATAAGAGATAACCGTTAGATATGTTGTCAATTGGATATCTGGATATCCATTTTGAAAATTTCTTTTACATGATTTTGTTCTGTTCTCGAGAAAAATGGATAAAATTGTTTTGGATGCTCATTTCTTGAACACTTTTACGTTGACTTTTGCTTTAAAAATAAAGAAATTATGCAAAAATATTATTTTATCTCCACATAATAGTTTCTGTTCTGTTAGTCGTTTATACGTTATTGAATTTTCTTCTAATTTTATTTTCACATTCTTAAGATTCAACGCTTTCGTCTATTGTAGTACTTTTTGTAACTGCGAGTCCACAGCTTGTATGAATTTCATTTTTTTCAAATTGTATGTAGATGTAACGGTTTTTTTTGTACGACAGTATTACAATACGTATTATAGCTGCTATTATAGCTTCACAGTTTCCGAGATACATATTAAACTACTTTTGAATATTTTAGTATAAAGAGTAATTATTTAAAAAAGAACTTCATCACTAGTTTCAATGAAAAAATATATTGTCAAGATTATCATTACAAGAAACTTTTTCTTATGCATACTATCACCTCTCAACTCTGATTTTTGAAATATATATAAAAATATTTTTCATTCGTTCAGATTAAATTAAAGTTAAATTAAGATTAGGTTTGACTGGTATTTAGACAAGCAAAAACTAAGACGAAAATCAAGAGTACCGAAATTACGATAGATACTTCAATTTTAAGTTATTAATGATTAATAGTAAGGTTTCCATCTTTGTGTCATGTACACTGCCAATGTCCGTGTTTGTACTTATTTTATACGCATTATCAATGGACCGTGGTTCAAAGATCCTTAACCGTGAATAACTTGAAATTGACCTCTAACACAATTGCGTTATTTTTATTGTTTATCTTACTTTCATTTGTAAAATCATCTCAAAAGTATGAATCGTATGTAGTCAAACATAAAATGAATTTTGATTAAAACAAATATTCAATCTAGTTTTTAAATGAAGTAATAACAGTACACAAAATCAATTTTGTAAATAATATATGCAGCCAAGTGACACGTAAATACGTAATCCGTTAAACAGATCATTTCTTGACTGTAAATATATGTTATATATCTGTCTGGAGACTATTACATAGGAAGTACAGGTAAATAAATACAAAATACCGAGTACATACACCTATACCTGACTGTCCCGTTCAATATGTTGTGTTTGTATGTGAATGCAAGTAGTACGAGTCATACCATGGCGCGTCTATTAACTGGAAACTACTGCTTCCTCCGGAGCATGTTACCCTGGTCAGTAGAGACGCCACTTTCTACAAATGATAGACAAGTAAACACATGCCTATCAAGATGTCAATTATAGTGACTGTGGACGAACTCGCAAGTGTAAAGTTTTACAAAATTAAGTCACAAAACGGAACCTTGACAGAATTCATTTTATTTTTAGATACTTTGCGTTGGTAAATACCCTAATATCTCCATTGTTTTTAGACTTATAAAAGCTTCCTATTTTTAAGGAAAATTTTTTTAAAGAATTTTTAAAGAAATTTCAAGGTCATCATTGCAGATTTAAAAAATGCAATTTAAAGATTTTAATAAACATCGATTCGATATTATTGCTCCCATTATCGGTAACCCGCATTTATTATTGCTACCACTATCAGTAACACGTATTATAAGGTGAACTGTGTTTCAGCACAGATCCATGCGTTGATGATACCACAATGACGTTAAGATACATTATTGCGTAATCACATTTAAATGCAGATCACATTTTACTTAGCATATGCGAATATTGTTCTAAATATCATGATTTGCAGTATTGCCGATATAAAAAATGTTTTAAAGTTGGATAATATTTGTATGGATATAGTATAATAAACATAATTTCGTGCCAAATGAAAATATTTCGTCATCAATGAAATCATATTTTTATGTGATGTGTTTAAAGAAAAATAATTTCGACGTTAGGAGCATTAGTGGAAATTATCAATATTTACTTTAATAACTAAGTTCATTATCTCCTTTGGAATGTATCAATACTTTGAGATAAGTGAATATAATTTGTAAGTAATACAATATAACAAAATAAAAATGTTAGTATAGCATATATCTATGTGTATTCTCATTTTTACATTATCCTTACTTAAGTAGAGAAAAAAGTAAGGTATAATATAAGCTGTGAAAACGAAATTTTTTTACCACTACTTGTCATCTGTCTATACGAACAATGTGTAAGCAAGTTTTCCCATCTTTTATACTAGGGAAACATGATCTATCCTAGATCGCGTGCGTGTTGACGTGTTCTTCCGCTGATTGAACACTGTGACAATATTTCTGTTACAGTAAATGTTAATTATTACCTAAATTTAGATATAATTAATAAAGCATCAAAATATTGAAAGATATAAGCACGCATATAAGTAGGAATAAGATTTTTTAACGAAATGTAACATTTATCATGTTTGTAAAAAAGC